TTTCTTTCGTTTCAGTGGTGTACTAGTTTCTCATGAAAGTTTGCTTGAATTGCTAAAATGACAACGTCTTTGGATAAGTATTTAGAACATTTTAAATACTTAGGGAAGAAAATATGGAATTCTTGTGTGGATACCAACAAAACTACTATGTGTCTGAATCTTTATAGATAGACAGTTAAGGTGCTTAAGTCCCTTAATGCTGAAATAATTCCAAGTAAATGTACTTAGGGTACAAGTTTAAGGGCTAACGCATTGTTAACACATCATTTACAAACATTTAGGCTGTTTGGGAAGGACATTAAGAATAGAATAGCTGGGGGTGCCTGGGTGGCGCAGTCGGTTAAGCGTCCGACTTCGGCCAGGTCATGATCTCGCGGTCCGTGAGTTCGAGCCCCGCATCAGGCTCTGGGCTGATGGCTCAGAGCCTGGAGCCTGTTTCCGATTCTGTGTCTCCCTCTCTCTCTGCCCCTCCCCCGTTCATGCTCTGTCTCTCCCTGTCCCAAAAATAAATAAATGTTGAAAAAAAATTTTTTTAAAAGAATAGAATAGCTATACTCAGAAAAACTGTGCATTTATAGATAGTTAACATTTTAACAGCAGAAAGAGCACATCATCTGGAAAAAGATAGCCCCTTTATTTCATGAATTTTAAATGTTTCATATACTCTAATAACTTCCCACAGACAAGCAGGTAAGATAGACAACTGAAATGGAAGAATATCTTATCCAGAAACTCAAGAACCAGAAACTAACAGGCTAGTGGCTTGGCACCCTGGTCTCCACCCCACTGGGTTCCCAGGGAACCTTGTGGAAACATGGCAGAAACAAAGAAAACGCTAGAAGCCAGTAAAGCACTGGGTGACAGAGCACAGCTGTGAAGTCAACAAGCACCTGTTCTGCTAACTTCTTAGATTTAACCTATGACCACTAGTCAACTGTTTCTGATCTACACAAATTTTGGGCACTTACCTAAAACCTCTGAGCCTCCCTTTCTTCAGCTGTAAAATGGTGTTATGGGTTGTATTGTGTCCCTACAACATTCATATGTTGAAGTCCTGACCCTCGTCACCTCAGAATGTGACTGTATTTGGAAACAGGGTCTGGATAGAGGTAATCAAATTAAGGCGAGATTTTCAACAGGTCCTAATCCAATACAATGGTGTCTGTCCAGAAAGGGGAAATTTGGACACAAAGACGGACACACACAGAGGCAAGTCGTGCATCTAGAAGTCAAGTAGAGATGCCCAGAACAGATCTTTCCCTTATAACCCACTGAAGGAAACGCGTCTGCCTGCAGCTTGATTTCAGACTTTCAGCCTCCAGGACTATAAATCTCCCTTGTTGAAGCCAGCTCGTTTGAGGTCCATCAGGAATACAGTTGGACCTACACCTCACAGGGTGGTTATGAGAATCCAAAGAGACAAGGCAGGGGGCCCTGGGTGGCTCAGTAGGTTAAGTGCCCGACTTCAGCATACAGGTCATGATCTCATGGTTGGTGAGTTCGGGCCCCGCGTCAGGTCAGGCTCTGCGCTGACAGCTCAGAGCCTGGAGCCTGCCTCGGATCCTGTGTCTCCCTCTCTCTCTCTACCCCTACCTGTGTCTCTCAAAAATAAATAAACATTAAAAATTTTTTTTAATTAAAAATAAAATAAAAGAGACAATGCAGATAAAACATGTATCACAGTACCAACTATTTTATGGGGAGCCCACAAATAAACATAAAGCTTTCATTGTTGTTTTTTTTTTTATGTTTATTCATTTTTGAGAGACAGAGAGAGACAGAGCATGAGTGGGGAAGGGGCAGAGAGAGAGGGAGACACAGAATGTGGAGTAGGCTCTGAGCCATCAGCACAGAGCCCAACACGGGGCTCGAACTCACGAACCGGGAGATCATGACCTGAGTCGAAGTTGGACGCTCAACCAACTGAGCCACCCAGGTGCCCCAAGCTTTCCTTGTTTTTACTACAGCTCTGATACATGTCATTCATGTTAGAATGACAGTGGGATTCTCACCACACACAACAACTTTTCTTCTAGCCTGGCCTGGGGTGTCCAGACTCTGCTCCCCAAGTTCCTTTTCCCCCTTTGCCCACATAGCCAACAACTTTTCGTCCTCCAGTTGCCTCTCAAATATCACCTCCCCCAGGAGGCCCACCTCACTTAGTCACTGCCTCAGGCCTTCTGCTCACATCCACCAAAAGGGGTGGATACCAGCCTTTTCACACAGCAATGCAATTACTGATTCCAAATTAGACCCCCAAGTACCCCATGGATGAGCCTTTATGTTCCTCCTAATTTCCGTCAGGTTCTGTGTGAGATGCTCGTTAAAGGTTTGAGGAAACAATCCCTTCACCTCAGGGAGGGAAAGTGGCCACATAGACCATCTACATATATATCTTTTTTTTTAACATTTATTTATTTTTGAGAGACAGAGAGAGTCAGAGCATGAGCAGGGGAGGGGGAGAGAGAGAGAGAGATACAGAATCTGAAGCAGGCTCCAGGCTCTGAGCTGTTAGCACAGAGCCCGACGTGGGGGCTCGAACCCACGAACTGCGAGACCACGACCTGAGCTGAAGTCAGATGCTCAACTGACTCAGCCACCCAGGCGCCCCCACAGAGACCGTCTATAAACAAGCCCATGCTCTAAACCAGCTCGTAGAAGTGCTTTCTAAGTTAATGGTTCTCAGAAGTGTGGTCTGGAAACCAAGAATGGCCTGGCCAGGAACTTGTTAGAAATGCATATCCCTGCGCCTCATCCCACACTGACTGAAGCAGATACTCGGGGGGGGGGGGGGGGGGGGCGCACAACAACCCAGGAATCTGTTTTATCAAGCCCTTCCAGGAGTTTCTGATGCCCTAAAGCCTGAGCACTACTGTGTGGGTCTATGCTGCTGGGGTGAGCTCCCCAAGTATTCTGATAGACTGAGGAGCCCCAGGGGAGTCGGGACTGCAGAGGGGCTCTCAGGTGCACAGAAGGAAAAGTTGCGAGGTTTCACCTTCACCTGACTTTTCTAAGCCCATGCAATGGGGTGAGTCCATGATAAATGTGAGGTATCTAAATTGCCTAACAATGAGAAGCCACGTCTAGGAAGTGAGACTCTGCCCAGACTCACATCCTTCCAGAAGGCTGATATCAGAAACCTCAGGTCAAGGTCAAGGGCAGGCTCTGCAGGCACCCTCCTCCACCCAAGGACACTGGATGCTAATGGATCACCACATGCTTGCTTCCGCAGACTTGGACAGCACCTGAAGATCCTGAACCCCAGGCAACCACCACCGGTGGACCAGAACTGGCTCTTGAGAAAAGTCTGCTACTATTCTCAGTTGAGGAGCTAAGTCCCCACACTCTGGAGAGTCACACAGTCAGCCGGGACGGTAGGAATCGCACTGAAGTTGGGAGTCAGTGTCTGTGCGACTTTAGGGAAATCACTTAAAATCTGTGAATCTCAGTGTTTCTTTATTTGCAAAAGGGAGGTGGTCATAACCCCTTCCCTCTCAGGGTTATTCTGGGGTTAAACAACATCGGTGAATGCACTTTGCCCAGTGCCTGGCTCTTCATAAATGTCTGCTGGATCGGAAACTAAGGTGACAGGAGTTGCTCTGGGAAAAAACCGTCGCCATCCAAGCTCACCCGAGACGAAGTCATCCCAGAAAGCCAAGCTTAAGTTTCTACACAGGAAAGAGCTTTAGAACAAGGCTCTGACTTGGGAAAACAAACTGACGTCAAAGGGCCTGTGGTCACTAGTACAGGGAATCAAAACCAGGGAAGTATTTAGCAGGGGGGTCCTGTGAGTCACAAAGAGCCTTCCCTCCTCCAGACAATGCCTGCATCATCTCCCTTTGCCACACTCCAGGCTGCTCCTCCAGCTCATTTGACCAAATCAGAAGATCCTACCCAGAAATCTAGTTTCAGGAAAACCACTGCTGGAGTCCAGGCAAGCATCTGCCTTCCTATGTTTGGAAACTTTAAGAGCTCCATAGGGAACATCCCAGCAAACAAAACCCTGACAGTTCAGTGGAAACTAAGGGCTCCCCCGTGCAGGTGTCCCCATTTGGACAACTAGACTCCGAGAAAGGCCTTGGCATATGCCTGGTTCCTTCTATACTTTACTTATTTAGCTTCATACTGACACTCTGTTTTCACAGATGAAGGATCTGAAGCTCAGAAACATGAAGACATGTGCCCCAAATCATTCAATTAGAAGGCAGGAACGCTGGGATTTGAACAGCCATCTGCCACCCTGGAGTGTGCTATTCACAGTCTATTAAACTCCAGCTCTGACACATAGCTAGAATGCACCCAGGCAGGGGCTGCAAGCTTAAACAGACAGGAATTATGAAACAAGCACATGAAAAATATTCCAACCCCCTTCCAGCCACCATGGACTGACCTATAATCAGGGGTTAAAGCGTAACTAAGAACAAATACATCCCAGCATCTGTCCAAATGAAATTTAATACCATGTAAATCTCATTTAATTCCTACCTAAAATTGAATCAGTAAATAGATAATACTCACTCTTAGCTCTTTCACTAAAAGCTTGTACATAATTAATCTTTGGAAGCCAGTGTGACCGATGCCTTTAATATCTGCAGCAACGTGCTTATCACTGTTACATAATTCTGCTCCATCAAAGATAATGAAAAAAACATGATTTACCAGAATGACCTATAACCCCAGACACTAACATACCCTGTCAGGCATTTATCCTGAACCACAGGAGTTGCACTTATATGCTCCAGCCAGGAAAGATCTCAATTAGTTCTCATCCAACCATGGCAAAGCTATACCTAACAATTCAGACCATAAATGCAGGTACGATGCTTCTGCTCCTTGATAAATAAAATATTACAATTAAATTTTCTCTGATATGGAACAGTTTCTCTATCAGCCACATTGAAAACGGTGGCCTCGACATTGTCTAGGTTGTGAAGTATTTACACCAAACTTTAGGAGGAGGAGAGCCGGTGACCAGGTTGATGAGAGGAAAAATGAAGTACCTGATAAAGCAGGCTGTCAGGTTGCACACGTCTATGCTTTGTGGAATGCTCACTCCAGGAGGTGCGGCCCAGGTACCAGTCCCACTCACAGGGAGATGACAGTAATGCGGCACTCTGCACCCTGAAAAAGACAGTGCGTTTAAAAATCCAACACGGTCACTCCCAGCACCGTGAGATTCTGGGAAATGCACCGGAATTCACGTACCGTGCAATTCAGCCATTTATAACATGGCTTTTAGTATATTCACAGAGTTGTGCAACCATCACCGTAATCCATTTTAGAACATTCTCATTACTTCAAGAAAGAAGCCTCGCACCCCTTAGACCTCATCCTGCACTGCCCTGGTTCCCCAACCTGGCCACCCCATCCTGGCAACCACCAATTTAAGTTTGTCTCTACAGATTTACCTGTACCGGATGCTTCATAAACAAACGCATAAAATGCATGGCCTTTTGGGGGCGCCTGGGTGGCTCGGTTAAGTGTCCAACTTGGGCTCAAGTCATGATCTCATAGTTTATGAGTTCGAGCCCCACGTCAGGCTCCGCACGTAGCCTGCCTGGGATTCTCCGTCTCCCTCTCTCTGTGCCTCCCCTACTTGCACACGCTTTCTCTCTCTAAAAACAAACTTAAAAAAATATGTGACCTTCTGTGACTGGTTTCATCTACTTAGCATAATGTTTTAGAGTTCCATCCAAGCTGTAGCATATGTCAGAATTTCACTCCTTTTTATGGCCAAGTAATATTCCATTGCGTGGATATACTTTATTTATATTTCCATCAGCCAGTGCACATTTGGGTTGTTTCCACGTTTGGGCTATTATGCACAAGTGTTTAGGCAGACAGTTTTCATACCTCTCAGGTATGTATCTAGGAGTGGAATTACTGCTCCTAGTATTTTCAGTCTTCAAAAAATGGAGAAAATGAAGTTTGGCACCATCATCCTAAGGAATAAGGTCCTATAAGAATTCACTTTTCAGATGAAAAAAATACTCAACGGGTGGAAAACATCTAGAGAAAACTAGTTTTTTTAATTACAGTAAAATGCACTTAACATAATATTTACCATTTTATTTTTTATCATTTAATTCAATTTATTTATTTAGAGAGAGAGCACACGAGAGAGAGAGAGAGAGAGAGAGAGAGAGAGAGAGAGAGAGAGAGCACATGCACAAGCAGGGGAGGGGCAGAGAGAGAATCCCAAGCAGGTTCCACACTGTCAGCACAGAGCCTGACATGGGGCTCGATCCCACGAACTGGTGAGACCATGACCTAAGCTGAAACCAACAGCCAGACACTCAACCAACTGAGCCACCCAGGTGTCCAAAAATTTACCATTTTAAAATAAACAACAGAGAAAAGATTTTAAACTAAAAGAAAATTCATTTTTCATAGCATTTATAATACTGGCTTATCTTTATGTTTATATTTATGGATTGCCCACCATTAGAAAAGATGGCATTGGGGCACCTGGTTGGCTCAGTCGGTTGAGTGTCCAACTCTTGACTTCAGCTCAAGTCATGATCCCAGAATCGTGGGATCAAGCCCTACATCTGCACTGGGCATGGAGTCTGATTGGGATTCTCCCTCTTCCTCTGCCCCTCTCCCTCGATCTCTCTCTCTCTCTCTCTCTCTCTCTCTAAAATTAAAAAAAAAAAAAATTTAATGTACCTATTTAAAAAAAGGTGGGGTGCCTGGGTGGCTCAACTTCGGCTCAGGTGATGATCTCACGGTTCATGGACTCGAGCCCCGCATCAGGCTCTGTGCTGACAGCTCGGAGCCTGGAGCCTGCTTCAGATTCTGTGTCTCCCTCTCTCTCTGCCCCTCCCCCACTCACACTCTGTCTTTCTCCCTCTCTCAAAAATAAACAAACATTTAAAAAAATATTAGAAAAAAAAGATGGCACTTTTTTTTTTTACCCCTCATTCTAAGAAAATCCAAGAAACATCCCTTCTGCACATTTTTATTAATCCTGAATATGGGGGCATCTGAGTGGCTCAGTCAGTTAAGGGTCCGACTCCTGATTTTGGCTCAGGTCATGATCTTACAATTCATGGGTTCAGGCCCCATGTTGGGCTCTGCAGTGACAGCATGGAGCCTGCTTGGGATTCTCCCTCTCCCTCCCTCTCTGCCCCTCCCTCCCCACATGCACGTGCTCTCTCTCTCTCTCTCTCTCTCTCTCTCTCTTTCTCTCAAAAGAAATAAATAAACCTAAAAAAAAAAAAAAAAAGCCTGCATATGCCTTTCAAACCACACAGGGAGGCAAGCTCACTTCTGGGCGAGGCCTGGGCCCTGGCAGCTTCACACAGGGCAGTCACGTCAGTGGGAGGAAGAATGTGGCTTCTCGAGTGTTCTGGACCTACTCTTCTGCTTGCGCTTGCGAGACAAAGTGATATTGTGGTGTCTGTGCAAAACCCTGTCTACACAATGAAATAGAAATAAAAGATAGTGTCGATTTTACTTGTGCAGGCAGGGGACACATTTCCCTTCTCCTGCAAGGATCAGCAGGAAATGTAGGAACTGGCTAAGGCAAGGCCATCTGGACAGCCTACAAAGCAAGCCACAGGATTAGAGCCCAGCCCATGCCTGGTTTCTATTATTACTTCCAAAGATAAATAAGTGGCCAGCAAATCAAGATGGGCTTGGTCATGCTTTTGGCCTTAACACGACATTTTTCTACAGGTATCAGCCACAAAAAGTGCTTGTTTCTTGTATTGAAGCAGATTGCTTTTTAACTGTTTTGAATCTTTGCATTTCTAAAACATCTTGGTTTTACCTTTCTTTTATAATAGTCCCAAGGTTTTTGACTGTATAGGAACCACCAATAACAATCAACCATTTCTAAAATACTCTACCATTGACTAGGGGTACTTTGACTAGGGCTACTTTTAAATCTAATAATAGCTTGCGAAAGAACTAAATTATATTCTTAGTTTTCAATAGTATTGGCAGATATGTAAAATTAGTGTCAGGTAACATGAGTTAGCACTGAAAAACTGGACAAATTTTAGGGGCACCTGGGTGGCTCAGTTGGTTAAGTGAACGACTTCTGCTTAGGTCATGATCTCACAGTTCGTGAGTTTGAGCCCGGTGTCGGGCTCTGTGCCAACAGCTCAGTGCCTGGAACCTGCTTCAGATTTCGTGTCTCCCTCTCTCTCTGCCCCTCCCCAGCTCTTGCTCTGTCTCTCTCTCTCAAAAATAAACACTAAAAAAAAAAAAAAAAAAAAAAAAAAACTGGACAAATTTTAAAAGGAAAATCCATAGGTGGATCAGTATTTTTTGTGTTTGAATGTCAATCCCTTTAAACATTTTTTAAAATTTATTTTGAAAGAGAGAGAGAATCCCAGGCAGGCTTCCCACGGCTCGTGCAAAGCCTGATGCAAGGCTCGATCCTACGAACCGTGAGACCAGAACCTGCGCTGAAATCAGGAGTCGGACACTCAAACTACTGAGCCGCCCGAGGGCCCCCTAAACACTTTTTTTTCCCTTTATTTGCGGCTATGCTGAAGCCAAGTTAAGCACTGGCAAATATTTGCTGAGCACCTATCATGTGGCGGGCACTGGGGTGAACGCGCGCGTGCAGAAGTAATCGGAACTGTGCTTCAGTGAACTTGCAACACACAGTCATTGGTTGGTAGCTGGTTGTTCTCTTCTGTCATGTGACTACAGTTTGCAGAGAGAAGTCCAAGCACAGCCCTGTTTGCAGACAGCAAGACAAAGTACTCAAGTCAAAGGAGGAGGGCGTTGGCGTGAATGAATTCCTTGAGGTCTTGAAAACTGAATCATGACCTGACTTCCAATTATGTTTTAAAATGCAAAAGCAGCTGTTCTTGAATACTACGTGGTATTACATGCTGCAGCAATTGTAATATTTCTTGAAAAGAATGAAAGGCCTGAATTCTCGGAAAAAAAATACCAGCCTCACTGTCTACTCAACCAGCCCAACGGGGATCTCTGGTCAGGATGCTCGAGGGCAGATTTCCCTCCACACAAGCACCGCCAGCCACCTGCCGTCTCACCACTGACATCTCTAACGATGGCAGAGAGGAGGGAGGCATGGGGACGGCAAGCCCTCAGGAAGATCAGAAAAGTCTGAGGTCAAGAGGAAAGCAAGCATGCTCACAGAGAGCATGTCTCTAGGCGTTTGCTCCTCAAAGTGTGGTTCATGGACTGAACCATCAACATCGCCTGGACCACTGACTGGTCATCACCTGGGTTGACAGCAGCACCTGGAAGCTTGTTAAAATGCAGACCCCGGGCCCCACCCTACCTACAGAATTAGAATCTGCATTTTAACAGAGATTCATATGTCCACTACAAATGTGAAAAATAAGACACCAAAGTGACCCTGAAAGATTTGGAACGGATTGGTGAAATTCATCAGCAGGAGATAACCCCTCCTAGGATCTCCAGGAAAGGAGAGCTGACTACTTAGTGAGGTATATGAAGATGTCCAAAGGAAGACTGTGTTAGGTGAAGAGGGAGTCAGCAAACAAAAGAATGAGAACCAGCAAAACAACGTTTAGTCCGTGTGTGTGTAAAGAGCTCAAAGTATTTAGAGATACAAGAAAGATCTCGTTGTTCTGTGATGCAGCACCATTTCATCAGGCTTAAGGGAATATTCTCTTAAAAAACGGACAGAGGGGCGCCTGGGCAGCTCAGTCGGTGAAGTGTCGGACTCCGGCTCAGGTCACGATCTAGCAGTTTGCGGGTTTGAGCCCCGCATCAGGCTCTGTGCTGACAGCTCAGAGCCTGGAGCCGGCTTCGGATTCTGTGTCTCCCTCTCTCTCCGCCCCTTCCCTGCTTGCACTCTGTCTCTCTCTATCTCTGAACAATAAATAAACATTAAAAAAAAATTTAAAAAGAGAGAATGAGGGAGAGAGAGAGGGAGGGAGAGCATCCAACTTCCTTTATTAAGAATCATTTGGCACAAATAGTTTGACTTCTATTTGCCTTGACTTAGGGAAACGAGGAGAAGCAGAGATGTTTCTACGTAAGGCACTTACTCATTCCAATGGCTACAAAAGATTATCTCCAAAAAGAAATGAATAATGCGGCAATCAATGTACACATCTGAATTGCGTGGGTTTAGGGAAAATCCCTTATAACGAATGATCTTGAGCCAGAAACTAAGAACATCCAGCTGCTGTCTGAGGGCCAAGCCCTCGACCGTGATGACTCAAAAGAGGCTCCGTCCACACTTGTAAAAATCAAAGACTAAAATTAGAATTAAGGAATGATGACAATATAGGCCACACATTGCGTCTCTCCAATTTCCTGTATTATTCTGTCCAGAACAAGTATCTCTCGTCAGTCACAATACCCCTTCTCTGCTAAGCCCAGACTTGACCTGGGGGCCTCCCCAGCTTGACGCTACGAGCAGCCCGCACATCACCTAGCTTCATCAAGCCATCGGAGACCTGTCTGCCATCCCTGACAGGAGGTCCTCCCGGCTGTAAACTTCTGCCATTCTAGGACAAACGTCCGACCCCAGTAAGCCCAACCTCTTGGGGGTACTTGAAGAGTCACAATTTGGTCGTTACAGAATGTCTTCATCACTAAACATCAACCCACATGGACTCCCAGAGTCACTACATACCCCTTGCCCTCTCGGCACATATATACACTTCCTTCCCTCCTCGAGACAACTGTAAAGTAATTAATAATGATGATGAGGCCTCAGGATTCCATTCTGAAGCATCCCTAACATTTCTTAAAGAAACATCTAATGTGTTTCTAATAAAAACTACTTTTTACATATGGGAAGAAAATCTAACTAAATCAAATGTCTCAACAGCAGCAGTATTGACATTTGGGGCTTGATAATTTTTTTTTTTAAGTTTTTGTTTTATTTTGTTTTGTTTTTTTTTCAGTGTTTATTTATTTTTGAGAGAGAGCGAGCATGAGTGGGGTAGGGGCAGAGAGAGAGGAGGAAGGACAGAGGATTCAAAGCAGACTCCGTGCTGACAGCAGTGAGCCCAACACAGGGCTCGAACTCATGAACCCTGAGATCATGACCTCAGCTGAAGTCAGATGCTCAACTGACAGAGCCACCCAGGCACCCCATTGGGCTGGATAATTCACTGTTGGGGGTAGAGGGGCTGTACTGTTCATTTTAGGATGTTGGACAGCATTCCTGGGTTCCATCCACTAGATACCAGAAGCAACCCCCTAGGTTATAACAGCCAAGATTGTGCCCAAACACAGCATTCTTCACAAAGCTAAAACAAGCAATCCTAAAATTTGTATGGAACCACAAAAGACCCCAAATAGCCAAAGTAATATTGAAGAAGAAAACCAAAACGGGAGGCATCACAATCCCAGACTTTAGCTTCTACTACAAAGCTATAATCATCAAGACAGTATGGTATTGGCACAAAAACAGACACATAGACCAATGGAATAAAAAAGAGATCCCAAAATTGGACCCACAAATGCATGGCCAACTAATCTTTGACAAAGCAGGAAAGAATATGCAATGGAAAAAAGACAGTCTCTTTAACAAATGGCGCTGGGAGAACTGGACAGCAATATGCAGAAGAATGAAAGTAGACCACTTTCTTACCCATTCACAAAAATAAACTCAAAATGGATGAAAGAACCTGAATGTGAGACAGGAAAGCATCAAAACCCTAGAGGAGAAAGCAGGAAAAAACCTCTCTGACCTCAGCCGCAGCAATTTCTTACTCAACACATCTCCAAAGGCAAGGGAATTAAAAGCAAAAATGAACTATTGGGACCTCATCAAGATAAAAAGCTTCTGCACTGCAAGGGAAACAATCAACAAAACTAAAAGGCAACCGACGGAATGGGAAAAGGTATTTGGAAATGACATATTGGATAAAGGGCTAGTATCTAAAATCTATAAAGAACTCAGCAAACTCCACACCCGAAAAACAAATAATCCAGTGAAGAAATGGGCAGAAGACATGAATAGACACTTTTCTAAAGAAGACATCTGGATGGCTAACAGACACATGAAAAGATGCTCAACGTCACTCCTCATCAGGGAAATAGAAATCAAAACCACACTGAGATATCACCTCACACCAGTCAGAGTGGCTAAAATGAACAGATCAGGAGACTATAGATGCTGGCGAGGATGTGGAGAAACGGGAACCCTCTTGCACTGTTGGTGGGAATGCAAACTGGTGCAGCCGCTCTGGAAAACAGTGTGGAGGTTCCTCAAAAAATTAAAAACAGAACTACCCTATGACCCAGCAATAGCACTGCTAGGAATTTACCCAGGGGATATAGGAGTGCTGATGCATAGGGGCACTTGTACCCCAAGGTTTATAGCAGCACTTTCAACAATAGCCAAATTATGGAAAGAGCCTAAACGTCCATCAACTGATGAATGGATAAAGAAGATGTGGTTTATATATACAATGGAATACTACTTGGCAATGAGAAAGAATGAAATCTGGCCATTTGTAGCAACATGGATGGAACTGGAGGGTATTATGCTAAGTGAAATAAGTCAGGCAGAGAAAGACAGATACCATATGTTTTCACCCATATGTGGATCCTGAGAAACATAACAGAGAACCATGGGGGAGGGGATGGGGGGCAAAAAAAGTTACAGAGACGGAGGGAGGCAAACCATAGGAGACTCTTAAATACTGAGAACAAACTGAGGGTTGATAGGGGGTAGGGGAGAGGGGAAAGTGGGTGATGGGCATTGAGGAGGGCACCTGTTGGGATGAATACTGGGTGTTGTATGGAAACCAACTTGACAATAAATTATATTTAATATAAAAAAAATTGTGCCCAAACATTGCCAAATGTCCTCCCTCCTTCCCTCCATTGCAAACTACTGACCTAAATGATTACAATAATTCTCTTAGTGAGATGAGACTATGGATGATTTTGCCCCTTTTTTCCATATATTTTCTAAATCTTCTCTAATGAATGTGTATTGTTTCTATGATAAAAATAAGCTAGGGATGGGGCTCCTGTGTGGCTCAGTTGGTTAAGCTCAGGTCATGGTCTCACGGTTCATGAGTTCAAGCCCCACATCAGGCTCCACACTGACAGCGCGGAGCCTGCTTGGGATTCTCTCTCTCCTTCTCTCTCTGCCTCTCTGCTGCTTGCTCTCTCTGTCTCTCTCTCTCAAAAAATACAAAAATTAAAAAAAAAAAAAGTTTTTTTTAAATAAGCTAGTGACTTTCCACTTTTAACAAAGAAGTATCATTAGCTCCACAGATATCTCAAGTTGACCCTTGAGTAAGTGCCAATGTGTGTGGTTCATACAGTTGAAAAATTCAGTTCAGTCCCTAAAAATACTATCTGCCTTACAGACACCTTAAATTAAACTTCTCTTCAATGTGTAAAAGACACTTAAAAAAAGGGACTCTAGAGAAGAAAGCAGGAATTGAGGCCTCTATTCAAAAAGGAACATCTAAACCCTTCTTCAGCATGGACAATTAGTGGGGCATTAGAAAGACATGTCAAGTAAAATAAAAAGTATTTACCTGAAACATTCCACATGTACACTTTAGTCAGAAAAAACCTTCATTGTAGGGAAAAAAATAATAATAAGGCACACTTACTTCATCTTTGAGAATTGCCACGCACACATACAGGCCATATTTTTAAAAACGACAAAATCAGAAGATTAAAATATCTGAATGTAAAAATACGCATGACTTCATCTTCTTGGCTGTTAGACTAGGATTTTTCTGAAACTTATTATTACCATGAATTTTATTACTAACTATTTTAATTCAGTCTGGCAAGGCCCTGTCTACCAGGAAGAAACAGGTTATCCATGACCAATTCGCCGTCTATGACCCTCAGGACACGGATGACCCTTTTCTCCACCTAGAACCCGCCCCCCTCACCCAAACACAGACAAAGCATCTTCTGGTCTCCTCTGCTTACCCGGGGTGCTGCCAGAGGTTGACATGTCTTCTGCTCTCAGGGAGAAGCTCCCTTTTGTTAAGCGGGGTGATACCAACCGCGGCTTCCAGAATAGCCATGTATTTCTTGTACCTCATCTTGTCTCTCTCAGTACAAGGTCATGTCAATTTCGGGCACCTTTCAGCTGAAGCAAATGAAGTAATCTTTGCACTACCTGATGCCCCTGTGCTTCTACATGTTCCGTGTACCCCTACCGCGAGCTATTAAACTCTAGAGTGCAGGCTGAGGCCAAGCCACAAATAAATAAAAAAAGAAAGGGCTCGTTCGGATTTCCCTGCAACGTCAGTATTATATAAGGCTAAAGAATTTTGACTAAAGCACTAACGAAAATGACTTGCAGGACAACCGTGGTTCTAAACACAGCAATCTAACGTACACTCCCCAATTAATCCGCACATAAATCTTTGAGGCCGCTAATCCTTCAAGTACTAATGGCACAGGAGGTGATTTATCTCAAGGTCTGGAAATAATTGGTCCAAAAACCCGCGTGGCCTCTGGATGAACTAAAATCAGAAGCTGATTTGCTCCTTCTACAAATACCTCTCTTCAAAAGGCTGCGCTTTGACAAGTAAGGAGCTCCGGTTGTCATTTTATAGCACACATTTCCAAAGGCTATAAACTCTTTGCTTGAGTCAATAGCAAAGATTAGTTAATAGAAAAACAATTCTGTTTGGGTTGTTGTTGTTGTTGTTTTTAAATATCTTTTTTTTTCCATTTATTTATTTTTGAGAGAGAGAACACAGGTGGGGAGGGGCAGAGGGAGAAGGAGACAGAATCCAAAGCAGGCTCCAGGCTCCGAGCTGTCAGCACAGAGCCCCACGCGGGGCTCGAACTCACAGACCGAGACATCATGACCTGAGCCAAAGTCGGCCGGCCGCTTAACCGACTGAGCCACCCAGGCACCCCTTTAAATATCTTTTTAAATACCTCTATAACGCAACACAGGCGAGCTCTCATAGCATGAAAGTATATTGTCTGGATATGCTCAGACCCTGTCCCATCCTTGTAGTTGTAAATGTCTCCCCTCAGCTCGGAGGGCCTTTCTAGCCCTCTTTCCATGGGTTAAAGGTGGGATGTCCTTAACAGTAGCCCACCTAATGAGTCATGGTTCACATGGGCCAGTCTTCCCTGGGATGAAAATATGACATTCAGAAAGAAACGCCCCTTTCCTGTCAGAGCTGCTGACCAGGGGAGACGGGACACCAGGACTGTCGGCACTCATGTTCCCCGCCACAGTGCGAGGGCTCATCGAGTGCACTTAGGAAGAGCTGTATCAACAGAGATGCAATGAGATCATCTGAGCTTCTGGACCCAGCCACGTCTAAGGCCACGATCATCCCGGGAGATCCCAGTTACACTTTTATCCAAGCTAATAGATTGACTTTTGTGAAATTTAGTTTTAGTTGCATTTCTGTCACTCTGAAAAAGTTCTGACTTAGCCACCTCCCTGACTTCTTCAAGCTATATTTTTCCCAGTGAATATGCTCTAGGAGCTGGGCTGTTCCTTGTCTAAACAGACTCCTATATAAAAGGGAAGCAAAACAGAGGGAGGCATTATGTGTTAATCCTGATTAACCTAGATATCCATAGTGAGTAAGTATCCCAAACTCCACCCTCTCCCCCTAAATCTTGAACCTTTCTTCTACAGATTCTCTCCTCAACAGCAAGTTTCTTAGTTTTTGTTTTTGTTTTTAACCTGAATGGCCTAAATCAGTAGTCTCCAAAGCAGGGTGTACACATCAAAAATCTTTGGGGTGGAGGGGTACCTGGGTGGCTCAGTCAGTTAAGCATCCAACTCTCGGTTTAGGCTTCGGTCATGATCTCACGGTTTGTGAGTTCGAGCTCCACATCGGGTTCTGCACTGACAGTGCAGAGACTGCTTGGGATTCTCTCTCTCCCTCTTTCTCTGCCCCTCCCCTACTTTCTCCCTCTCTGTCTCTCTCTCAAAAATAAATAAATAAACTTACAAAAAAAATCTTTGGGGTGTGGAAAGAAAATATTAAACCATCTATTTCCTTTTTTCTCTTGTCTGTTAAAAATTTGGTTTGAGTGTTTATTTTTAAATAGTCATAATACTTTGAGAACTAATTTGTTTGTTTGTTTTTTTTTTAAGTTTATTTATTCTTGAGAGAGAGAGCAGGAGGAAAAGCAGAGAGAGACGGAGGGAGAGACTCCCAAGCAGGCTCTGCACTGTCAGCAGGGAGTGTGGTCCACACAGGGCTCAATCTCGCAAACCATGAAATCATGAGCTGAGACGAATCAAGAGTCAGACGCTTAACCCACTGAACCACCAAGGCACCCTGAGAACTAATATACTTTAAGTTACATTAAAATATGCCATTTAGAAATTACTGTGTACTCATATATATTGTAGGGTGTCCTTTAAAATGTGATAGGGGTGTGTGAGCCAAAAAGTCAGTGACTTATATAAGCCTTCAACAGCTCTTGAAGCCTCAGTTTCCCATTTACAAGATGAGAGGCCCAAACACAGGAATGCAGTTACCTTTCCATATCAACAACAAAAAACTAAGAACTCCCGCTTCACTTGGCCTGGACATACAATTAATATAATCTAACCACTACAGAGTGGTGACAACAAGGGATAAACCTCTTGGTCTTGGGATATTTCATTTCCAGAGTGTTCATGAATATTACTCCCACTGGCGGTTCTGTAAACAATTAGTACCAGTTAGTCACAGGAATTCTTTTATGGGCTGAACGTGGTTTGCTACAGCTGCCGCGGCTGAGAAAAGCTACAATACAGCCCTCATTTAATCATACAGGAAGATGTAATTATACTTACACAACAGTCTTTGTTCTGACAAATTGTATTTCTAATGACGCGTGATAAAACTTACTTCGCTGCCATATCAAAGTAAGAAATGAAACCTGAGCTTAACAATAGCGACAAAAAATCGAGTTAAACTTGCTACCCAGTGGAAGCTGTTTTACTTGGGTGAAAGTGACACGAAACTTCATAAATGGCACGTTTTGTTTAAAGTTTCTTTTTCTGTAGGAATTTTTTACGCATTTAACATAACCCCTTAGGAAGTGATTCTAATCTATGATGACCTCATGCAAAACTCAAATTGGGTCTTTCACGAGGAAAAGAATTCTGCCTTAGCAAATAGTTAAGAAAGAATTTGCTTTCCTTCCATAAATGACAGTGTTCAGTTTTATCATTTATTTATTTATCCATTTAAAAAAATTGTCATCTTGGGAATGCAAGCTGGTGCAGCCACTCTGGAAAACAGTATGGAGGTTCCTCAAAAAACTAAAAATAGAACTAACCTACTACCCAGCAATTGCACTACTAGGCATTTACCCAAGGGATACAGGTGTGCTGTTTTGAAGGGACACATGCACCTCCATGTGTATAGCAGCACTATCCACAACAGCCAAAGTATGGAAAGAGCCCAAATGTCCCTCGATGGATGAATGGATAAAGAAGATGTGGTATATATTTACAATGGAGTATTACTCTGCAATCAAAAAGAATGAAATCTTGCCATTTGCAACTACGTGGATGGAACTGGAGGGTATTAGGCTAAGTGAAATTAGTCAGAGAAAGACACAAATCATATGACTTCACTCATATGAGGACTTTAAGAGACAAAACAGATGAACATAAGGGAAGGGAAACAAAAATAATATAAAAACAGGGAGGGGGACAAAACAGAAGAGACTCATAAATATGGAGAACAAACTGAGGGTTACTGGAGGGGTTGTGGGGGGGGGGATGGGCTAAATGGGTAAGGGGCATTAAGGAATCTACTCCTGAAATCATTGTTTTACTATATGCTAACTAATTGGGATGTAAATTTTTAAAAATAAAAAATTAAATTAAAAATAAATGAATAAGCAAATAAATGTCATCTTTGTGTGAACACCTTCATAATGGACAATAACACAGAAAGCACAAATGTAGCCAAAATACCCCATCCAGATGTGTACTTTATATCATTTTCTTTATAAATCTAGAAATTCTTTAGAAATATGGATTTATTTAGTTGATTCCCTTAGAGTTCTAGAAACTCTTTACAACTACAGCTGTCTGCTTAAAAATCACTTACCTATTTAAAAAATGACTTTATGTCTACGTCTACATGATCCAAAAAGAGCTTTTAAGTCACGATAATCAAGGATACTTAAATCTGAATGATTAAAGTTGAACATAAAAGTACACAGATCGGACTGACGTTCCCTTTGAACTGGTTATTTCTACTTTATTTCTGCCAGAGGAAAACCAGGGGACATCCTTCTTCACTGGGTGTTTTAACTGTTTCTTTAGAAGTATAAAAATGGAAATGAACTGATGCCCCAAATGGGCTGTTTTATAGGGTGTGGTCTCCTTTTCAGGGAGCTGGAAAAAGCCTTTGCTAAAATAGAAGAGTCAGGGAAACAGCTATTTTTCTTTTTTTTTTTTCCTAAGCTTTACTGCAAATAAACCATATGACTTTATGCAAGTCATATTTTCTGTCCCCTTAATGTCTTCATATTATCTACATCTACATACACACACACACACACACACACACACACACACACACACACACATATCTACATATTTGTTACTCAGCTGACTTACCAGAACACTAAGAAAAACAGGCCACAGGATGTAAAAGAATTACCAAAGTGTTCGAGATTAGTTGTGGCTCCCCTAGATTCACCCGCCTCTGCCCAAACCAGCCTGTCCTCTTCACAGCCATCTTCAGAATGCACTCGCTACTGAGTTTATTTAAACCATCGCCTTCAACTGGATGCCACCAGATCTGTCCTTCTCATCCTGTCCTTCCACCCAAACCGATATCTGAAATAGCGCCCCCGCCCGGCCCGCGGCCTCCTCTTGCATCCCCCTCCCTTTTCTATTTCTTGCATTGCCCCCTCCCGGTTCGCCTGGCGTGACAGGCAGAAGCCATCCTCCCAGCGTCCCATGGTGCCCACGTATACCAGCCCCAGAGAGCTGTGTTTCAACGGGAAGGCTTGATCTGAATCCCACCTCTGCTGTTTAACACCTTGAGATCTCTAACAAGTTACATGACCCTTCTGAACCTATTTCATCACCTGTAAAACTGGAATGAGATCGCAATACAGGGGTGCATTCAATGCGTATCATCTCGTCCCTCCCTCCCTTTCACCCCTGACATCTGTCCTTTTTCCTCTCCCGAAGACCTCTTCAAGAAACCTTCCTCTATCCTCATTTCTCTGCAGGCAAGAACAAGGTGCACTTACAAACTTCTGACCCTCCCTTGCAGCTATAACTTCCTTCAATACACAGTGAAAGAGAAAAGCCCAAGGCTGAGTGGTTTTGTAGGAAAAAAACGGGCTGCAAAACAGGCTTGCTGATGGTAACAAGAACCCAGGGGC